TTTTTTATTTTGATGTGAAGGTTTATCATTTTTCTTTGAGGTTACCCTGTGATTTATAGTTTTCTTCCCAAGTTTAGAACAGTCCATTCTATCTTGCAGTTGTCTTGACTTCCCTACCATTTAGAAGTTCTGCAACTACACAATTTTTTCCCTCCTTTTGGTTTGTAGTTGTCCTCATTTGTCAATTGATGTCTCTGGTTCTGTGTTTACAATCTTGTAGGCTCATTTACTTTGAATACTTCCATAAGTGGGTTGGTTTCTGGGTTGTGTCATCATTTGTGTTAATGCTCAGTTGTTGTTTTCTGTTGTTGGTTCTCTGTCCAAAAGACTCCCTTTAGCATCTCTTGTAAGGTTGGTCTGGTTTTAACAAATTCCTTTAATTTCTGCTTATCTGAAAAATCCTAATTTCACCATCATATTTGAGTGACAATTTTGCTGAGTATATAATTCTTGGTTGGAAATTTTTTATTTCAGGGTTTTATATATACCACCCCATTGTCTTCTCACCTGCATGGTTTCTGCTGAGAAATCTGAGCTTAGTCTTACTGGTTGCCCCTGTAGGTAACCTTTCGTTTTCCCCATGCTGCTTTCAGGCTTCTTTCTTTATTTCTGGTTTTGGTGAGTTTGATGATGTCTTGGTGATGTTCTTTTGGGGACAGTGTTTGGGGTTCATTGGACTTCCTGAATGCATATATTCTCATCTTTTATCATATCAGAGAAATTCCATTCCAACAAATCTTTGACAATTTTCTCTGTGGTTTTCTTTGTCTCTTCCTGTTCTGGAATCCCAATTACATGTAGGTTATTCCTTTTGATGGTATCCCACATGATCCTTAGGCTTTCTTCATTTTTTTTTTTTTTATCTTTTTTCTGACTGATCCCTTTCTACAGAAGTATTGAGGTATTTGCCTTCAATCTCACTAATTCTGTCCTCCATTGATTCAATTCTACTCCTTTGTCCATTCAATGTGTCATCTATTTCTGAAAATTTAGTACTAATCTTCTGGATTTCTATGTGTAGATTCTGTATCATTTCTAACTTTTGATTTATTTTGTCATTTTGTTCTTACACTGTCTTTCGAAACTGTTCTAGGGTTTTCTCTGTGTTTTCCTCAATTTTGTCTGTTTTCCTCGATCTGTTTCTCAATCCATTTAAGGTACCTAAATATAATTATTTTCAATTCCTTATCAGGGAGTTCAAATGCTGCTTCTTCCTGGGATGTGTTCTGGGTCTGTATTCTGGTCCCCTGTTTCTCTTGCTTTATCTTGCTTCTTTGTGTGGACTGTGGTGCTCTGTTTTCTTCAAGACATTGTGACATTTTTGTGTTTATATTTAATTGGTGATTTTATGTTGGAGTGACTTGCCCATGATTTTCATTTTCTTTGTATATTATCTATGTAAGCAGGGTATTGTGCGCCTCTATTTGCTAGTTGGCAGCACTTATACACTCATCACCTGTCTCCTTTCCCATTGTTAGCCTCCCGTATGTCCCTGCTGTCCTTGACAAATGGAGCCTATTCTTAGGTCCCTGGAATCCAAATGAGAATGCTGTCACTTTAAATATCCAAAACAGCAACCACTTATAAACAAACAAAATGGCTGCACCCTCTGGGCAGCCAAAAGTGCACAGCTCAGGTTGTCTCCCTCCTTCCTGTTTCCCTTCCTAGTCATAGGCCACAAGTGCAGTTGTCCCTGCAGCCAGCCCTTGGTGACCAGGGCTGATCTTTAGGTCAATTCTCAGGTCCCAACACCACTTGGAAATATTCAAATAGTCAGGCTGTTGGTGCCATCAGAGTAGCTGACAGTCTACCGTAGCATTTCTTCCCAGGGCAATCCAGCCTGTTGTGCTTGCTTCTACCTCATGCTTCCATATGCAGCTTTCAATAGCCATTCACAGGGAGAGGAGATGCAGCCTGCAGATTTACCTTACTTACTGCAAGTTTGGCAAATGCATTAAAATTCTGCTTCTTGCAAAATCTAGTTGTTTCTTAACAGGAGGGCCCTTGAAAATGTTTAGTCTGACATACTGCCAGAATAGAATCTAATGCAGGTTTGTTGTTTTTTACAAAAACAAAAGAAACTTACTGGAAAGGAAGAATATGACTTTTCCCCAGTGTATAACAGATTATATTTTATTTTTATCTTAATCATTCCTTTCCAGCAAAAATAAAGAACTGAAATCTTAAGGAAGCAAAGAGAATAAAAACTGATCAATATGTTACCTGATGTGTTAATAAATGGTGAAGTATTACATGATTTTATTACCTGTTGCATTGCGGTCATGAAGTTTAAAAGAACGAACAAGGTCAGTTTTTCGTGCTATCAAGCTCTCTTTTAATATCCTGATGGCACTACTTTCAAGAACGTTCAACCTATGTAAAGAAAACAATTATTAGGTGAATGTTACATAAATCATCCAATTCTGCTCCATTTTAATGTGTTTATGTTACCATTTACCAGTTTCCACTTTAAATGAAGTGCTTAAATTCATATGCATCATGTACTAGAAGGGGAATGTATGTGTGTATATATATGTATGTACATGAGTATATTTTGTGAAATTTAAAAAAAGATTCCCAGTGGATTTTCTTTTGTATTTAAAAGATTCACATGGAAATAATTTTTTGGACTATCTAAGATGATTTTGAAAAAGGAAAATAAAGAGGCACTTGCTATACCAGATATTCAAATTTACTATAAAGTTACTTAAAGAAAACAGCAGGCACTGATACAAAACAAATATATAAGTAGAATATAATAGAAATTTCATAAATTATTACTATTTATGGGAATTATATATATGACAAAGCATTACAATTCAGTAGAAACAGTGCTAGCATAACAACAACACTCCATCAAACAGTAAGATAATATGTTCTTCTCAAGCATATAATTGTTGACAGTATTCTCTTATAACTCTTTTTATCTCTTTAAGGTTTGTGGTGATACCCCCTCTTTCACTCTTGGTTTTAGTTATTTTAATCTTGTCTCTTCCTTTCTTGATCAGCCAAAAATACATAATGCTAAAACTGACAAAATAAAATGGATAAATTCCTAGAAAGAAGTGAACTACTAAAACTGATTCAAAAAGAAATAGAAAATCCAAATAGGCATATAACAAGAAAAAAGATTGAATACATATAAGGAGGATAAGGAATATATGGCTAATTGCCTCCACGAAAAACATCCTCCTTGGCTGTGAAACTGAATGGCGTCTGGCTATTGTTACTCAAAATTTTGATCAAAGATTCCATAGAAATATCCTGGTCAAAAGGGGGAAAATGCAGAACATATTTTCAGGTTCTCAGAACTTGAGACATTCTGGAGCCATGAAGACTGGCTGAACCCCTGAAACTACTGTCCTGAAATAACCTTTAGTCCTTAAACCAAAAATATCTTCTAAAGGCTCCTTAAAACCAACAATAGTTTAGCTTAACTAGTAAAATAAAAATCTTCTTTCAGTATAATACTCTTTTAAGAAGTATCTATATGGGATCAAATTGACAACAGCAACTCGAAAGACTGGGCCAGAACCTTAGGGGGCGGTGAGTTTATGTTAATGGGGAGGAACAACTCAGAGAAGGATGGGAGAACGGCTGCACAACCTGGAGAATGTCATCACTGTCACTGAATTGCACATGGAGACACTGGTGAATTGGTCTGTGCTTTGCTGTGTATATTCTCAACAACAACCAAATCAATACAATTCTCCATATATATATTGAATATGGAATCAAAAACAAGGCCAAATGGCTTCCCCAGTGAATTCTACCAAACATTTGAAGAACTAATACCAATCCTTCACAAACTTCCAAAAAATAAATAAATAAATAAATAAGAGGTGGGTATACTGCCCACTAGATTCTATAAATACCAAAATCAGAAAAAGAAATCACAAGAAAAGAAAACTACAGTCTAATATCTCTTATGACTATAGATGCAAGAATCCTCAAAAATACTAGCAAATTATATCCAGCAACATATAGAAACGATTATGAATAATGACAAAGTGGGATTTATCCCAATTATACAAGGTAATACACCATATTAACGGAAAAAGAGACAAAAACTACATGATCATCTCAGTAAATGCAGAAAAAGGATTTGACAAAATCCAACCCCTTTTCTTGAAAAAAAAAAAAAACACTCAATAAACTAGGAATAGAAGGGAACTTTCTCAACCTGTGAATGTGACTCTGTTTGGAAACAGGGTCTCTGAAGATGTTAAGCTAGCATGAAGTCATGCTGGAATAAGGTAGGTTCTAATCCTTTATGACTGGTGTCCTTATAAAAGAGGAGAGGATACAAAGAGACAGAGAGACAGAGGGAAGAACACCATGTGAAAATGCAGCTGCAAGTCAAGTAGCCCCTGGAGAGGAATGAAACAGATTCTTCCTCAAAGTCTCAGAAGGAATTAGCATGACTGATGCTCTGATTTCAGATGCCCAGCCTCCAGAACTACAACACAATAACTTTGTACTCTTATAAGCTACCCAGTTTGTGTTATTTATTTATTTATTTGTATTACAGCCGTCCTAGAAAACTAAGACAGAGCTGGTACTGGGAAGTGGGGTACTGCTGTAATGAATACCTAAAAATGCTGAAATGGCTTTGGAATTGGGTAATGGGTAGAAGCTTGAATTATTTTGAGGCCCTTCATAGTAAGAGCCCAGACTGCCTTGAAGAGACTGTTGGACTGATTGCCGTATCACCTGTACCTGGAACAGTGTGCCTGATACATAGTAGAGGTTCAAAAATGTTTTATGAAATGAATTAGTAATTGCTAGTCTATTTTTGTAGGAGCAAAGGTAGAGGTGGAAAGGTCCACCCTAGGCTGTTTGTTTTAGTTACTTGTGGAGAAAAGGATGATTGAGAAGTAGGGAGAGAGAAGATGGTAAACATTTTCTCTATACGTCTTTGGTTTGTTTCACTTGTGGACAGTACACTAGTTTTATAAGGTAAAAAGTCTAAAAAAGATCATGTTAAAGGGGTGGGAAGAAAGGAAGATAAGCTATTAACGCCATCACATGGAGAGAGACATGCAACTATTTTAGGCATCCACACCGCTGGGTAGAGAAGAAAAGGGGCAAGACCAGATTGGGCTGTTTGTCCAACAGAGAAGGTTGTAGGTTAGGGGACTGGATGAGCGTAGGGACCCTTGTTTCTTTCCATTTAATTAGAAACTGTCCCTGGGTGCTAAATTCTTTATCCATCTAAAGAGTTGTATAAATTTAGAATTGTTTCTTTTGGTTTCAAATATGGGTACAATTCACCACTCAGAGTCTGGAACCATTTCCATTTTGTTTAAATCAATGAATCACCAATAAGCAGTTATCTTCACTCCCATGGCTTCTCTTCATCACTCCAGACTGGCTCTAATCTGTCACCAATGCTGGTGCTGAGTATTCTCCTTAGAGTATACACACCTTTGAGAAAGAGCCTGTCGGCGTGTTACTCGATAATGAATAAGTCTAGGTGGTTTACAACGACCCAGTCTGAGGTAAACTCCTGGATTGCTGCCTTCTTCATGATAATTAGATGCCGAAAATACAGTAATAACCTGATTAAAGAAAAAGAAAGTCAGGTTCATGTAAAATCAGTTCTCAAAAGGCCATTTAATAATTTCTTAAAAAGTAAAAATCAAACAAGCTTCCAAATCACTGAAAATTATCCAAGTCTGATGTGATTTCCTGCGATCCCATTAGAGGAAAACAAGGCTTTTTAAAATCACTATCCCCACTAATCCAATATCCCCAGTGCATGGCCTTGCAATCCTGTATGTAATTTTAATACAGTATTTTAAGGGCAGCAAAATGGTGGGTAGAGTAAAGGGCCCTGACTCCTATCTTGGAAAGGAACCAGTCTTGGGACTTTGGTGGAGTGTGGGAGGACACCACTTGTCTGCGATGGGAAAGCTAGCTTAGGCCCTGTTATGCTACTTCAGACAAGTCACTCCTATTTTCTCTCAGTTTTCTTTTTGTAATTTATTTTATTTGTTGTTGCTGTTAAGAATATATACAGCAGAACATACGTTCAACAATTTTTCTACGTACAATTGAGGTGACACTGATTACATTCTTCAAGTCATGGCACCTTCCTTTTCCAAAGTGTTCCTCTTCCATTAACATAAACTCAGTACCCACCCCCCAAGTTTTCTATTTAATCTTCTGAGTTGCTGTTGTCAATTTGATCCCATACAAATACATCTTAAAATAACACAATACTTAAGGCAGACATTTTTTATTAATTAAACTAAACAACTGTTTGCCTTAAAGAAGAATTCAGGGGATATTTTTTGGTTGAAGGTTTAAAGATGATTTAAGGTTTAGGGGGTTCATCCAGCCTCAATGGCTCCAGAAATTCTGGATTCCATGAGATTTTGAAATTCTGTTCTGCATTTTCCCCATTTTGATCAGGATTTGTATTTAGAATCTTTGATCAAAACAGTTTTATTAATACAAAGAATCCCTAAATAATACTTGCCTTACCAATCTCCTAACATTAGTGTAACCCTAAAATGAATTAACAGAATTAAGAAAAGTGATCATGTTAAGATAGAAGGAAATACCACACAATTTGATATTTATTAATTGCTGTTTGCTTTTAGAAAACGGAGCACCCCAGGACAATTTGGGACAAGAAACCAGTTCTTCAATTCTTACCTTTTCTAGCCTTATCAGACACCACTGAAGGAGCTCAACATACTCCATTTTATTGGCTGCAGCTGAAATGACCACAGTGAGCAGTTGTGGAGATCAACTACTCAGCAAGCTGAAGGGAAGTGTATTTTGTGACTCTGCCTTGAGCGGGGCAAGTGTGAAAGGTGGAAGAGAACAAACCAGCTTCACTGCTGCCTTTTACATACATTCTCTGTGAGGATAAGTACCTGCTTAACCCACTGCACTGGAGATTTGCCTTACGATATATTGAAAACAAAAAAGGCCTTTCTGTGTATGTACTTTGTGCCAGAATTTCTATCTGTGGGATTAGAGAATATCAGGGAAATAAGCCAAATATTTCCTAGGGTGAGGGGCACTGAGGCACCTTCAAACAACCTGAAGTCTTCTGTTCAAAAAAGCATGGCCTTCTGTTTTGGCAGTAGGGAAGACATCTTCCCATGGGCTTCTGGGTCCGACACGCTCTGTCAAGAGAAGACTGTGCTTGTGGGAAGGATATCTGTGAGAACATCACCAACAGGGCTAACTTACCTTGCCTCTATGGCCCATCTCATAACCAGCGGGCTTATATTCATGAGACCTAACAAGGTACTTCTTAGAACAGTTACGAAGAAAACTGATGCTAACGTCTGGTCCAAAATAGCAGCCTCTTCCTCGATTTTTGTTTGGATAACACCCCTTTTGATCTCTGGGATCACTCCACAGAATATCGATAACCTTTGAACAACAAACCAGATTAGGGTGCTACTTGCACGTGAAAGTCGATCTTTCTAGGTTCTGACGTATGTACCAAAAATATTAACCCGTGTTACCCCAAAGACAAACTATTTCTCATTCCTCCTTCAAAATTGTTTCATGCCCATTTCCTCCTTGAATTCTTCCAGAATACTTTAAATGCCCAAAGCCACTCCAATCCCTTTCCACTCATCCCCATTAACCAATTAAACAACAACAATAACCAGTTTAACAATACTTAATAACAGGAAGAATTAGTCTTTGCATTTTTTTATGTCTTTAAAAATTCTTATCAATAAACAAACTATGGTACATACACACAATGGAATACTACGCCATGTGAAAGAATAATGATGAATCAGCAAAACGCCTCATGACGTGGATGAACCTAGGGGACAATATGCTGAGTGAAATTACTCAATCACAAAAGGACAAATATTATATGAGACCACTACTGTACAAAGTCAAGAAAAGGTTTACACACAGTAAGAATCATTCTTTGAAGGTTATCAGGGGGTGGGGAAGGGAAGGTAAATCACTAACTAGAGGGCTGTTGTTATGTTGTTATTTGCCATTGAGTCGGACCCGACTCATAGTGACCCCTCCTTGGGTTTCCGAGGCAATATCACTACGGAAGTATATTGGCCAACCTTCCTTCTGAGGAGTGGCTGGTGGGTTTGAACCACTAGCCTTCTGGTTAGCAGTCAAGTGCCTTAGCCACCACGCTACCAGAGCTCCCAACTAGAGGGCAGACATGCATTAACTTGGGTGAAGGGAAAGGCAATATATGATAAGGGGAAAATCAGCACAAAATGATCAAGGCAAAGGAAGACACTGGTAAGAAAGAGCACAAGAGTTAAAGGCAACATAGGTACATACTATTACATACACAATCCTGCAATAACACTAGTAATAACAGTCTATGCATGACTACATACATAGACATACAAGCTGAACAGGGGTAGGAAGGTGAATAGGACTATACCCATGAATATCTATAGGTCTGAAATAGGGTATTTCCACGTATGTATTTATATGGGCTGCAAATATATCCATGAATATAGTAGAGCATACAGGGGCAAAGTTATGAAAACGTCTTAGTCATAACCAAACACCTTGAGGGAATGAGTCGCTGGGCCTGAGGCCTCAGGACCATAGTCTTGGGGTACACGCATGTCAACTGGCATAACATAGTCCACAAACACAACGTTCTACATTCTACTGTGGTGAGTAGTGACTGGAGACTTAAAAGCTTGTGAATGGCCAACTATTAGTCTCTCCCCATCTGGAGCAAACAAGAGTGAAGAAAATCAAAGACACAAGGAAACATTTAGTCTATAGGACTAATGGACCACAAGAACCCCAGCTTCCACGACCCTGAGACCAGAAGTACTAGATGGTACATGGCCACCAGTGCTGAACTCCTTGAAAGGGATCATGGTAGGAGGTCCTGGAGACAGTGGGAGAAATCAGTCAAACAAAACTCAAAAGAATAAAAAACTCAGGATTACTGATCTGATAGAGACTGGTAAAACCCCCAACACTGTGGCTCTTAGACACCCCTCAAGCCTGACATTGAACGCTCAACTTTCAGCCAGACAATGGACAGGCCTATAAGGTGAACAATAATACCGGGGAGGTATACACTCCTTACATCAACCATACGAGATCAAAGGGGCCACATATGCCCAGGGATAATGCTCAGAAAGCAAGAAGGGATAGGAAAGAAGGATGAAGGGAAATAGTAAACACAAGGAGGAAGTGGGCAGAATACTGTTATGTGGTAGGGATTCCAATCAATTTCATGAAATAAAATGTGCATGAATTATTGAATGGAAAACCAATTTGCCCTGTAAACTTTCTCCCAAATTATCATAAAAAATTAAGTAATAAATATCATAATCACATTTGTTTCACAATTATTGAATCTACAAAGGTCTTTCCTCTAGAAGAGCTTCATTGTCATGTTCAGAGGAGAAAGCAGCTTCCCAAAATGAACACAAATTAGGTGTTGGTTATGGATTGAATTGGGTCCCCAAGAAGATATAAAATCCAAATCTTTGTACCTGTGAACATGATGTTTGGAAATAAGGTCTTTGAAGACATTACCAGTGAACATGAGGTCACACTGCAGATTGAGTCCTAATTCAATCTGAGTGGTGTTCTTACAAAAGAGGAAACAGAGAGAAGGACAAAAGGAAGACAGCCATGTGATGTGGCAAACCAAGGAATGCCAAAGATCACAGCCTTCACCAGAAACTAAGACAGAGACATGGAATAGATTCTCTCACAAGCCTTAGAAGGAATCAACAAGGCCAGCACCCTGATTTTGGACCCCTAGCCTCCAGATTTTGGCATCAAGATTGGAGAAAGACTCATTAACAACCTAAGATATGCAGATGACCCAACTTTTCTTGCTGAAAGTGTGGATGACTTGAAGCACTTACTGATGAAGATTAAAGACTACAGTCTGCAGTATGGATTACATCTCAATATAAAGAAAACAAAAATCCTCACAGATGGACCAATGAGCAGCATCACAATAGATGGAGAAAAGATTGACGTTGTCAAAGACTTCATATTACTTGGTTCTACAATCAACGCCAATGGAAGCAGCAGTCAAGACATCAAAAGACGTATTGCATTGGGCAAATCTGTTGCAAAAGACCTCTTTCAAGTGCTGAAGAGCAAAGATATCTTCTTGAAGACTAAGATGCGCCTACCCCAAGACATGGCATTTTCAATCACCTCATATGCATGTGAGAAGCTGGACAATGAATAAGGAAGACTGAAGAAGAGTTGATGCTCTTGAGTTGTGGTGCTGGTGAAGAATGCTGAAAGTACCGTGGACTGCTAAAAGGACTAACAAATTTGTCCTGGAAGAAGTGAAGCTGGAACGCTCTTTGGAAGAGAGAATGGCCAGACTTCGTCTCACCTATTTTGGTCATGTTGTCAGAGGGGACCATTCCCTGGAGAAGGATGTCATGCTTGGTAAAGTGCAGGGCCAACAGAAGAGGAGAAGGCCCTCAAGAAGATGGACTGACACAGTGGCTCCAGCGATGGGCTCAGGTAGAGTAGGGATCATGAGGCTGGCACAGGACCGGGCAGTGTTTCATTCTGTTGTACATAGGTCACTATGAGTCAGAGACGACGCGACGGCACATAACAATGACGACAACAACGACAAAGCCTCCAGAACTCTGAAACAATAAATTCTGTTCTTATAAATCACCTAGTTTGCGGTACTTTGTTACACTAGCCCTGTTGTTGTTCTTGTTGTTATGTGCCGTTGAGTCGGCCCCGACTCATAGCGACCCCTCCTTGGATTTCCGAGGCAGTATCACTACGGAAGTAGGATTGCCCAACCTTCCTTCCGAGGAGTGGCTGGTGGGTTTGAACCGCCAGCCTTCTGGTTAGCAGTCAAGTGCTTTAGCCACTATGCTACCAGAGCTCAGTGTTCTTAATAACTGTGTCTTTGGGCCAGGGCGGAGGGGGTGTGTTTCATTGAGCCCACGGCCTGAGGAAGCCCTTGCTTTTTCCCATTATAAATATAGACAGACAACTGTTTATCCAAGAATACCTCCTAAAGGAGCTATTTTACCTTCTGCTCCCTTGATAAGTACCATCTCAGTTTCAGCAATAGATTCTGTCACTTTTAGCTACTGATTGGTTTCCACAATGTGTTCTCCATTAAAAAAAGTCCACAAGCATTTTATTAGTATAATATTTCCCTTTGGGACAGAAAGAGCCAAATGCAGGCTACACAATGCCCAGGACTGAAGACCCAGGTTTCTAAGAATATTTTTCATAGAAAATAAGAGGCTCCCTCTTTGTGGCTCTGATCTATCTATAATGTTTCTTTATTTAAACTTCTCCCACAAAAGATTAAGCAGTAGTGAGGGAAACTAGCTTTGTCACTAACACTGTGCAACTCTGAAAGAATTCTCTAGGTCTCCTTTCTAAATTTTTTAAATGGCCAGGTAACCTGTCAAGTATCTCAAAGTTCTAACAGACTATGATTCTAAGAGTCTGTATTTTCCACATTTCTTTTGAAGGTACGAAGAAGCATGCATTGTAAGTTGTGCAGTTATTCTAGTGGGTACAAATGAGGACTTAAGAAGAGGACCAGAAATGGCTGCCCCACTGAACATGGCTGTATGTTGATTCATGTGTTTGGTATTGAAGGAGAGCTAGAAAACATGTACTATGGTAATATGTAGTATATGATATAGTATATGATAAAAGCATATATATGAAAATACACATTTACGGTATTTTCCTCCTTTCTTACCATATGCAGATAGTTAGATTCACATAAGTTAAATGTACAAATGAGAGGACTCTGGTGAATTAGAAAAAGCACTAGCCACGGAGTTAGCTCTTCTATTAATTACCTGTGTCAACGTGGCCTTAGTTGGCTCATCAGTGAAAAGAAGATATATCTAACACTTAGTTTTTCTTTGATTTAAAGTTTTATGAGGTATCAGTTTTATAAAACTGAACTTCTTCAGAACCCATGTTATGAGTTCAGCATTTCTTTCCTCTGTCTAGAATTCATTTACTTGCCTAGATTTACCCTGCTTATGGCCGTAACATAGACTTAATTCTGGAGCACTTTATAGAATTGCTGAAATAAATTCCTCAGCAGAGACAATCTCTTTCCTATCAGTACCATCTTCTCCTCTGAAGCACAAGGGCCTCTTGTGTGGTAACTGCATGAAAGAATAATTATTTACAAGATTTTTTTTCTGAAAATTTTTTAAAATTGAAAAGTTTTATTGAACTATAGCTTTTATATGACCCCCAATCATTGCCATCCAGTCAATTCCAATTCACAGTGACCATATAGGACAGAATAGAACCGCCCCAGATCTCAAAACCTACCATATACCCACAGTAATCAAAACAGCCTGCTGCTGGTATAAAAACAGACACATAGACCAGTGGAACAGAATCGAGAACCCAGAAATAGATCCATTGACCTATGGTCAGCTGATTTTTGACAAAGGGCTGAAATCCATTACATGGGCAGGAGGTGGTGCTGGCAAATGGTGCTGGCAAAACTGGATATCCAGTTGCAGAAAAATGAAACAAGATACATTCCTCACACCATACACAAAAAATAACTCCAGATGCACCAAAGACTTAAAGGTGAAACCTAAAACTATAAAGTTCCTCAAGGAAAAAATAGGGGCCACTCCTCGCAAGGAAGATGGGGCAATCTACTTCCGTAGTGATACTGCCTTGGAAACCCAAGGAGGGGTCGCTATGAGTCGGGTCCAACTGGACGGCACATAACAACAGCAACAACAATTTATGGCATAAACAGACTGTCAAACATAACCTAAAATGCATAAACAGCTGAAGATAAACTAGATGAATGGGACCTACTAAATATTAAATTTTTATGTGTTTCAAAAGAGTTCTCCAAAAAGAGTAAAAAGAGAACCCACAGACTATGAAAAAATATTCAGAAATGACATATCTGATGAGGGACTTATTTCTAAAATTTATAGAAAACTCCAACACCTCAACAACAAAAAGATTAACAATCCAATTAAAAAATGGGCAGAAGACATGAACAGACACTTCACCAAAGAGGATATTCAGGCAGCCAGCAAATACACGAAGAAATGCTCATGATCATTAACCATCAGAGAGATGCAAATCAAAACAACAATGAGATACCAGCTCACCCCAGCACAAATGGCAAAGTTCAACAAGACAGAAAATAACAAATGCCTGCGAGCATGTGAAGAGACTGGGACTCTCATACACTGCTGGTGGGACTGTAAAATGATACAATCACTATGGAAAGCAGTATGGCAATTCCTTAAAAAGTTGGAATTAGAAATACCATTTGACCCAGCAATCTCATTACTAGGTATACATCCTAAAGAAGTGAGAGCCAGGACAAAAACAGATAAATGCACACCCATGTTCATCACAGCACTATTTACAATAGCAAAAACATGGAAACAACCTATGTGCCCATCAACAAAAGAATGGATAACCAAACTCTAGTACATAATCACAATGGAATACTATGCAGCACTAAAAAATAATGTAGAATCTGCAAAACACCATCTAACATGGATGAGCTTGGTGGACATTATGCTAAGTGAAATTAAGTCAATCACAGAAGGATATAGTATTAGTTCATTATCGTAAAAAGTCAAGGAAAGGTTTATATATGGAAGGAAACTTTCTTTGTTGGTTATGGGGGGGGGAGAAGAGGGGAGGGAACACTGAAAAAAAATGCATTGACCCATGTCACTTTAGCTGTGTGTATTTCACTGTACATAAATTATATTTCAATAAAATGTATTT